GCTACGACTTTTAAAATGCTTTGCAGCACTGATTGACTTTGATGTGCTCAGTCAGAATCGTTGAAAACAGATGGCCGAGGAGAGGGCTAACGGTGAGGCCTGTCAATCCAGGGAGTCCTCTAAGAAAACAAAGTGAAGACACTGGCTCTGGGAGAGGAGGAAACCCCTGAGCTTCTCAAGAGGCTGCCACATTCTTGAGATTAGGACAAGAAAAACGTAGACTACTGCTGCTAATGCCCCAGACAAAGGCACGGAACAATTTATTAGTTAAGAATTCAAGCTCAGAGCTCAATCAAAGGGCCATCGTCCACAGTGCCAGACTTGGAGATTTGGTTTGTTGTTTTAAGTAAATAATCACGCTTAAAAGATACAGCATAGATGGGGCTCAAGTCCCCCATAAAGCCCGCATTCTTCCAACTGTCATCAGAATGGACTTTAGAGCATGCTTTTATTTTCAACGCGGCATTGTTTGTCTTTTTCTCTATGAATACCATTTTAAAGAGCTTTTTATTTAACTTTCTTCCCCCTAGACCTCTTTACCTGATCTGTGGTATTTTTAAATAGACAGCTCGCCTTGACGTGCAGTGAGCTGATGACTTCAGGGGTTAGTTTGAAAAAAGGGAAAACCAGTGTGAAGGACTAGTTTGCAAATTTACACCAATAGCTGGTTGAAAACACTACTAAATCTGTCAGCTCTGCAGTGCTTGTGCATATGTCTCGGCGTTAAGTGAAGCAGCAAGGCAATCGTGTGCTTGATGCTAATTAATATTTGGGTAAATAAGAATCCATACGTGTAAGTAAATGCACAGCATTTTCAAAATATCAGGTTGATTCGTACTCATAAAACTGGTCTGTGTCCAAACATCATGCACTGTGATATACTGCATTGTTGTCAAATGAGTAATTGCTGTGAGATATAGATGAGAGAGGGCAGCCCATAATGGTTAATTAACAATTATGTCAGCCAGTGAGATGACCAGGAGACCAATCACTTTGATAGGAGACAGTGTAGGGGGACAGAAATCAAATTACTTTATGACTTGACCCATAATGCTTCCCTAACATGACTTTAATCACTCCATGGTGCGTAGGAGTCCCCCATGGCTCTTTTGGAGTGAACCAGCCTGGAGTGGAGGACAGCGAGGCTTTACCGGTTGCTGTTATCTCCTGCGACATTGCTGAGTAAGTAAGCCATAAAAGAACACAGCCATCATTACGGCAGTTTGGTTGCTTTTCAGAGAGATGGAGCTACTAATGATTAGACATGTTCTTTGTAAATGAAATACAAATCACCCCGGGCTTTGGGTTTTACTTCATTTACTAAGTGCTACATTACCTCATACTTTGGACCTAACAATGGATTTCCAATAAATCTCCCGGTAGTTGAAATGATGAAGGGGCTCACATATCATGAAACTTGCCAGTGCTTATTAGCACTTGAGAAGTTATTGATCGGGGATTTTGATTAATATTTGCTGGAGGGTATGGTGGCATTCAACCCCCCCACCCCCAACCCTGGCAGCTGGCAGGGACTTCTCTCAGTAACCTCCAGTTTGTGCTGACTGCCAGCCTGAGCTCTGGCAAGATGACAGCCACTGCAGAGCTCTAATGCCAGGAATAATAGGAGCTCACCCTCTATTTCCCGATTCTTCTCCATTATTTAGACATAAACATATTGAAAGCAGGAGGGGGGGGTGGTGGCTGTAAAGGGTTTGCTTATTGGAAAAAGTTTACTGTATGGGTCAGGACCACGGAGTATAGGAAAAGCATTAGATAACTGTAATAATAATACTGGAAGCGTTATATTTAAAAATACCCTCTTAAAAAACAACCAAACAGACAGCGAGAGACCAATAAAAACATTATATTTAGATAGCAACCTCTGATTTTATGGACTCAGAGGTAAATTGAAAGCTGATTTTTTTTACAATTTAATCCAACAAAAGGTAAATTGAAAGTGTTTTTGTGTTGCATACACTCAGTTACAGGTGATCAGACGAGCCTCTCTGATTAAATGACAGGTCAGATGGGCTAAAGCAGCTGAAGACCATATCTGACGGCCCTCTGTTCAACTAAGAACAGGAAACTGAGACAACAATTCACTCACCAAAATAGGGACAACAGAACATAGGAAACATGGTGCCTGGTTTGATTTGATTTCAGCTTTGGTAGGGTCCAAATTCATCAATCCATCCTGCCTTGTCTCCACAGTTCAGGCTGTTGCTGGTGGTGTAACAGTGGGGGATATTTTTTGGCACACTTTGGGGCCCTTAGTACCAACTGAGCATCTTATATCATATAATCTTATATCATATAATCTTATAATCATCATAGCCTACCTGAGTAGGCTCCTTTGACCTGCAAAAATTAAATAAATAAATAAAGAGAAAAGGAAAAAGGAAAAAAAAAGAGGCAACGTTTAATTTAAAGTGCACACATCCCCACAATATGTAATATTATTTAATAGGCCACAAGTATGGGAACATTATGAGGAAAAAACATCAGGCAAAACTAAAGGAATCAGTCACAAAACAACAGATTTTAGTTTAGGCCCAAGAGATAATTTCTCTGTAATGTACTGCAGCCAGAACCAGTAATTTCTCGTAGAATTGCGCGGCCATCTTTCTCCATAATGGACAATAATTGACCCTAATCCATCTCTATGGCTAGAAATAGTCCACCGTAATGGCCATAAATTGTTCCCTGCAAAGGCACTTAAAAATCCCATCACCCCTGCTGTGTGAGAGAGGCATTGCAACTTCTGTACATTCCCTTTTTGTCCTTACATTTTGACTCCATGCTGATTACATACAATGAACATCCAGTGGCGTCAAATCATACCTTTTAAGCACAGAGCACACTCAAATGACCTTTGCAGAGTTTTAGTGGCACAATGTAATCCAGGATTTCTGCTAAGAAAAGCATTATTGATTGAAAGCATGACATACAATGGTTCCTGATATAATCCCTATCCATCTGTAGAAGATACATCAATTTTACATAAACTATAAACTGCTTGGACTCTTAGAACTTCTAGTATTTTTTTCATGGCTCTGGAAATTTTAAAACATATTCATCGACCTTCTAAAAGAGGAGCTACTGTAAACCTAATTAACTTGTTTCATTTTTTGAAAGGGCACCTGCATTAAACAAGCCGAGCTACTGGAGACTTTCTTCCAAACTCCACCATAAATCATCAGCAGCAGCTATTTCATCTGATTGAGCTGCTGCAATGAGCCTGAAGTTTGCCTGTGCTGCGGGGAATGCATTTGCGGCAAGTCTCATAAATGCCAAGTTCTTTGGGCACTAAGAATAAATATCGCAACCACTCTCTAAATTTACCACATAATTGGGGACTTTCCCCGTCTGCACAAGATCTCGTTGTATCCTCCTCCCACCTTGCATGTACCACTACAAATGAATCCATCTTTAAGGTGATGAGGTGTAGAAATATAAGAGGATGAGCCACATATAAAACCTGCCAATGCATATCATTAAAAACTCCTTTAAAATATTGACAATAACAAGTAAAATAAACTATTGATCAAGATGCATGATGAATGTAATATTTCAGGAATCCTCTTGCATCCCAAACTAGAGTTTGTATTCTAGTACAATTAGACGCTGCAGTCACAATTGAAAGTTGAAAGACATCAGTATGCAGTAGAAAATGTGGTGGTGAAGTAGAGCTCTTGCTGGAGGCCTTCTCCTGTGCCTTTGTGGGTTTTCTCTGGGTATCCAATCTAGAATCACATGCATGTCCTTGCATGTGATTCTAGATTGGCCATATATGTTAACTGTGCATTACATTTTTCCCTTGCCCTTGTTTTTCTATGCTTCCCTGACTTAGTTCTGCTGGACGTCTCATTGTGAGTTAAAAGGGAGTTCTTTCTTCCCGCTGTCACCAAGTGCTTGCTCATCGTCAGATTTGTACATTTTTTGTAAAAATTTAATGAAATTGCACTATAAGTAAATTCAAATTCAGTACAGTGTACAATAATTTTAAGTAGTCTGTACTATCGTCGTAATTTTGTTGAAAAACAATTAATTTTTCCCCATCTTGCAACAGAAGTATGCTGAACGTTTCAAGCTGCGGGCCAAGTTATAAAGTGGATTAATCTTTTTCACATCTTTTTTAATTCTTCTCATTTCCCCGACTTTACAGAAGGCATATAGTAGGGATTTAGAGCAGTTTATTGCTAAGGTTTGTGGTTATACAAGTTGTCTTTTGTGATGTTTCCAACTTTATAAGGTCACATAGGCCTGCAAATGTTTATGGTATTTATTTTTTCTTGTAAGCTACAAAGAGAGGACTATCTTTATTGCATTTATATTGATATAATAAAAGGACAATTGAATATAGCCACACCACGAAAAGAATATAGCATACATGTGATATAAGATAGGGAAATATAGTCTGTGGACAGTGACAACATTTTTTAAGTGGCAGACACGTTGATTTGGTTGTTTTTAAATATCTGCACAGCTCTTGTGTCAATAAACAAGCTATATCATAGATTACGTGGTCTAGCCATGTGTATTATAGTCACAAATGCAATTTTTATTTATTTTTTTATGAGAAAGAAGATGTCTGGCTCTGGTACATGCAGTAGTGCTGTGTATGCACCTTCCTGCCGTGACAGTGCACAGAAGGCTCCACTCAGCAATCAACATTGGAGTATAAAAGCTTTGAAGACTAGCTGGCCAGCCCCACCAGATAGCTCTGGCACTGTTATAAGTGCTTCCTTATTTGAGGGCGACTATAGCTCAGGAGAAACAGTGGGTTATTTGCTATAATCATAGCTCCTCTAGTCCATGTGTCAAAGTATCCTTGTGCAGGAAATAGTTGCCCCTTGGGCACTGGGGCAACTGTGCCCTGAATTGCCCCAGTGCAGTGACAATGATACATAAAAGCGCTGGGTGAACAAGAATTGTAGTAGAAAGGGTATTACCTCTGTAAAGCACTATGTGACTGGCTCTCATCTTAAAAAGCACTACATGAATACATTTTAATTATTACTAACTAACAGTCTTTTCTTTTTTAACCATTTGACTTTTTTCAGCTTTGAGGATTTGTTGCAAACTTTTTGTTTTAGGTTTTTGATGGACACATCAGTCTACTTTTCTCTTTAATTGAAACCTTTAAAAAATACAGTTTTATTTGTAGACACTTTTTAAATTGTTACTCCCCATCCCCTAGGACCTTTTTGATGAGTCTAACAATTTGGGGGCTTGTCTGGGATTCGGACTTGGGACCAGGTACCTGGGATCCAACATTACATTGACACAAACCATATAAAAATGTTCACACAAAGCAGTGTGGCTTTGATTGATTTATAGATTTGCAAATAATGAGTTAGCACACTTAAATTGTATGGAAACACCTCTAGTAGCAAACAAAAGAGGCATTAATTGGCATGAGACGTAATGCTATCATAATGACAGCCACATATATTTATTTTATTGCATTTCCATACAAATAAATACACTTATACACATATCAGTCATACAGAGATCAACAATGCAAAGCAGGTATACGGATGGATGCTGATTATAGATGTGAGCTGATCAAACCCCCAAAAAGCAGATTATATGTGTTAGGCACAACTTCACCTACTTCTAAAGTAGCGTAATGGGACCAATACTGACATGCACTGGTCTGGCAATAACGTAAAAAAATCCTCACCTGCATGAATGTTCAAAACCAAAGCCAGGAAATCACAGAAACTGCTAAATATAAACATTACAGAGCATGTTTACCTTAGCGTTGTGTTACTGACAGAAAATTAATGGTTACATAAGTGTCCTGTTGGGTTAGAGGATTAGGCTGTTCACATGACATCACATCAACTATGTATACCTATGTACCTTTGTCTAACGTAATTCCCCATCTTTCTGTCCCTTCATTAAATGTTAACCCTCTACTCTCCACACATACACTCATATAAAAAAAAAAAGCAACCCCAAAACAGGTCACACGTGACAAAGCTCACACTGCCTCTCCACAACAATGTTCAGTGATTAGCTCCAGTCAAACAACACCAAACAATTTGATTTCAGTTACTGAAAATAACATCTCCTGAAAGCAACTCACTTACCATAACTCATGTACTTCAAAGCATGTAGAAAGACTGCCAAACATGCATCATCTCTTGGTTTCTTGTTGTAATTTTCATGTGGGA